CCTCACAGTGGAACTGCTGGATCTCTGAATCCCCAAAAGCTTTTGTTGTCTTTGTTGTTTCTGCCAGGTGTATTTTTTAAAAATTAAATCCACGTCTATACGCAGTTGTTTTGTAACCTTTAAAATGTTTTCCTCCAATATGTTTTGCAGACACTGGTTTTATACTTTTTTCTTCTAGATGAGCAGCGGCCAAGGTCTGGTCAAAGTGCTTACAATGCCATTTTCAACACAGTTTTGACATATGCTCAGAGAGAGACAGAAGAGATCCCAAGTGCATTATAGCAAAAAGTTTAGTTTATTTTGTAGCCTTCCTTTGTTGCTTCACAATGATCTCCACACTTGCTGAGTAGGTTTAGGCCCAAGCCATCCTCAGATTTGAAGAATTGTTTACAGTGGAAAATGGAACACTGTTAAGATACGTGGTGGATCTACTGGATGCCCGTTTTACAAAATATCAGTCCAAAGGCCTAGAGTTCTATAACCCAAAGGTTTTTCCATGGACCAGAGGAGGCGTGGTTTTGTGTGCTGCCTGCATCCCACGGATGGGGCTTTGCTTGTTTGTGCGGACCGGCTGCTGGCATTCTGCAGCCCGGTACCAGTCCATGGACCGGGAGTTGAGCACCCCTGCTGTAACCTTTCCATCTCTGCTTGTATGAGGGAACAAAGGGACTTCGTGTGTGTGTGTGTGTGTGTGTGTGTGTGTGTGTGTGTGTGTGTGTGTGTGTTGACAATAATTTAATCAAGATTTTACTGTAGTGGGCTCATTTGAAATTTGAAAGCATATTGCTGATACAGGTAGTCCTTACGACCACAATTGAGTCCAAAATTTCTCTTCCTAAGCAAGGCACATTTTGCCCCATTTTTACGGTCTTCTTGCCACAGTTGTTAAATTAGTAGCACAGTTGTAAAGTGAATTTGGCTTCCCCATTGACTTTGCTTGCCAGAATTTTGCAAAAGTTGATCACAAGACCCTGGGACACTGCAAACCATCATAAATATAAGTCAGTTGCCAAGAGTCTGAATTTTGATCACTTGACCCTGGGGATCCTGTAATGGTGTGAAAATACAGTCATATGTTACTTTTTTTCAGTGCTGTTGTAACTTCCAACGGTCACTAAATTAACTGTTGTAAGTCGAGGACTACCTATACAGAACATTATTTTCTGTTGAATTGTATGTCTAGTAGTGTTTTCTCTATTATCAGTGGTAGTCCAGACAACAGCAGATAGTTTACTTGATTATTTCAGCAAGACAAAAGAATATTTCATATTGGAATAATTGGAAGAGTTAAGAATGCCTCTGAGGGCCATGTGAATAAAGATGGTATACAGGACTGTAATTTGTTTTGCTGTTTGTTGTCAAATGTAGAAATAAAACGAAAGCATCAATTATTGGGTTGGATGTCTGAAGGCACTAGAAGGTTCCTTTTGATAACACCTGAAGAAAACTGATTTGATTTCAGGAGTAGATTTTAATTTATTATATATGGCTTAGTGCTTTGTCATGGATGTTCAGCCTTCTTTCTGTTGATAAAAAATGTCCTGAACAGACACCCTGGACCATAATGTTGCCAAATGTATAGACAGGTCTGAGTTTGCCTAAAAATAAATTGAGATTTGAGACTATTTGATTCCTTTTGGAGTTTACCCTAATGTTAAGCTGTACTTTCATACAGTGCTAAAAATATCAAATGTGTAGCAAGTCCTTTCATGTGAAAGGAACATTTTAAAAACACTGGTCTTATTTAATTTTTTTCCTTCTTACTTACAATTTTACATCCTCTTCGACATAACTGTATGGGCTACTTCCCAAAACAGCAAGATTTTATTTGCTACTAAGTTGTGAAACAGCAAGTTGAACATTTGTGTATACCTCACTGAAGTTATGTGGTTTTATCATTAAATCAGCATTGTGTTGTGTAATACTCCTTTTTGCTTTTTCACTCCATCACCATCAGATAGCAAATTGACTTGCATCAGTGATCTGATTTATATTAATTGCTTTAAAACGATTAACTGACCTGCAATGGAAGTGGAACAAAAGTTATTTCTATAAATGTTTTTGGAAATATATAAAGGTCAGCAGCAAGTTCTATCTTAAAAGTGGCATTCCCTTTTTCCTCAGACACAGGAACATGGTTATTATCAAACAGGCTACAATATATGTCCATTGCTTGTTTCTACCTGTGCATATGGGTGATGATCATTAATAAACTCAGAGACGTACCGTGCTTAAAACCACATAAGAGAACATAAAAACAGCGAAACACTCAGAAAAATCAACAGTTACCAAAAGTTAAATTACCTGATCTCAGAGGCCTTTATAAAGTTTTTACTTCCTGGCAGAAATTAGACAGTCATGTTGCTTAGTGGATATTCTTAAGGAGGATATTTTCTAAGAGCTTCATACATATATGGAACCTAAATAGTTTTCTCCAGTTTCAGGTTTTCTGCCTTCATTATGACTGCATTACAACAGCAGAGTCAACCAATGCTATCTATGATAGAGGAAGCCTAGTGTCCTGTAGCTGCTTCAGGATCAGAAGACAAACTTTCTCCTCTTGCTATAAAATGGTTTACATCTGGCTATTACCATTTGCCAGTCACTAAATCATACACAGCGTATGAGCCCAAAATGAGCTTCTCGGTAACAAACCATCTGTTCGATTAAAATTTAAGGATATTGAAAAGATCTCTGCTGAATCAGAGCAAAAGGAAATGTCTGGTTCAGCATTTTGCCCCCCCCCCCCCCCCAATGAATAAGCCAAGTTTTACAAGAAGTCCACAGCTGGAATATGAATGAAATACTAACTTCTTAGTGATTTTTTTCCAGAAACTGGTATTTAGAGCTACACTGCTTCCAAAACGTGGGATAATAAAATTTCTCTGAGGCAGCTGATAAGAGTATTATCTGTGATTTTGTCCATTCATTTTAAAGCCATTCAAGTTGGCCACCAATTCATTTGTAATAACAAATATCATTCTTTAACCATGTATTATGTTAAAAAGTAGTTTCATTTGTTCTGAATCTGCCCTCAATTAGCTCCTTTTGATGGCCCAAGGTTCAATATTAGGTTCAATGGATCCTATCATTCCTCTAGTACACGAGTGTCAAACTCGCCACATCACGTGACATGTGGCGGCGTATCATGACTTTTTTCGCATTGCCAGAGCTGGGGTGGGCCCGGCCTCCGCATGATACAACCAGCCCATGGGCCGGCAGTTGGACACCCTGCTCTAGTACAATCAGACACAGGTTAATCATTAGAAAAACTTATATGCATTGTAAGTAGTATGTTTGACAAGTTCTACACAGAGAGATTTTATTATTACAAGAATAGCCATTTTTCATGGTAAACATTTGCCTGTTTTGAAAGGTCAAATGTAGGCTGCATTATTTCAGTGTTTGTTTTGCTTTATAGCAATATTATTTATGGAACATGAATGGAAGTTCTTGTGTCTCTCTTCTTCCGATATAACTCCTTCGCTCTATCAATTAAATTCTTTGTTTTAACAAAGGACATCTCAGAAGCACCATTTTAATTATTTTTAGTTAGTAAGTCGGTTTTAATCAATTTAATCCCTAAAATGATTAAATGTGGAATTGAAACCAACTGTATTAAATGCATGACACATTATCTACTTTGTTAATGAGGAATTCTGTGAGTATTATTTACTGAAGATAATAAACAAGCTGACTTGGATCAATGACCTGATTTATAAATAAGGGTACAAGGATTTTAGAAGGCTTCCTAATTCACTTTATGTCCAAATGAGCATAAGTTCTAGACTTCTGTAGAATTCTAGTAAAAATAAACACAAATGTGTGTATTAAAAGAAATATAGGCAGTATATAGATCAGTGGTGGTGAACCTATGGCACGGGTGCCAGAGGCGGCACTCAGAGCCCTCTCTGTGGGCACACGTGCCGTCACCCCAGTCCTAGGCCTTCAGCTGGGTTTTATAAAACCTTTTTGCTTTAGGCCTCTGCCGCCGTGTGCAAAAAAAGAAGGTTCAATCAATCAGTCAATTTCAACTTCTTGCGGGAAAAAAAAAGATCTTGCAAAGTTGGAATTGATTGATTGAACTTTTTAGTCCCGCCCAGTCTGCCGTTACCACCGCAGCCACTCCCACCCAATGGGCCACACCCACCCAATAGCCACACCCACCCGGCACCCGACGATGCATAAATGGGTTTTTGGTTGCAGTTTGGGCACTCGGTCTCTAAAAGGTTCGTCATCACTGATATAGATGTATGTGTCCTAAAAGAGGAAATAATTTATCATCAAAACAAATTATTGAGTGGCAAGATGAACAGTATGTTATAAATAAGTAAATTTAAATCCAACCCTTCTTGTCAAGGGGGGGTTGGATCAGTGGTGGGATTCAAATATGTGAACAACCGGTTCTCTGTGTGGATGCCGCTTCCGGAAGTCCATTCTGGGCCTGGGCAACAAAAAATTAGCTACCGGTTCTGCCAAACTGGTACGAACTGGCTGAATCCCACCACGGGGTTGGATTTAACCTGCGCCAATTTAGTGCTGACTATTAGTTGACAAGATTCTTGTGTATAGACATAATGAGCAATAAATTAGTTTAACTGGAGCTTAAGGTATGGTCTTGATTCTTCATACTTGACAGATATCCACTTATTAGATCTAGTTTTAACTTTAAAATTCAGCAGGCTGAAGACTACAGAAGCTTCCAGATTCTGCATTATAGGTCATATCTCATTATTTTGACATGATTCAAAGTTCATTTTTTGATATTTATGTATTAGAAATTATTTTCAGAATTTGGATTCAAAGAATGGGTTTGTTGGATGGGTATTGAAAAATGAGTAAGTCCTAAAATTTTTATTAGTGAATCATTGGTCTACGTTTGGACAAGAAACTCTTCTTGTTTATTTTAATTTACACTGTCTCTCTTGAATGAATATATAAAAGTAATCTTGATCTGCTGTTTGACTTGCTAATTAGATCTTTCTGTTTTTCAAATACAGCTGATCCAACTGCTCTGGGCTTTCTCATATCTCCGTGGTCTCTTCTGCTGCTTCCATCTGGCAGCGTATCTTTTACAGATAAAAATGTTTCTAATCAAGATCTGCAAGCATTCACAGAACCAGAAGTTCTCAAAAATCAGTCACTCTTATCTGTTTCTGATGTTGAAAAGGTACAGCGTTTTCACTCCTGATGTATTTCTTTAGACTGCATTTAGTAAAATGAGAAAAGAATGGTAATATAGGTTATTCCAAGGGCTTTCAAACTGCTTTCAGGCTGTGGAGCTTGTTAAAAATTAATTTCTTTCTCAAGAAGCAATGCTCTAGTAATAGAAAATTGACTGAGTGTGTGTTAACTTTTTTGCCATTAGTCAAAAACAGCAACAATGTAGCTTGTGTTGAAAATCTTTCTCCGTTATCTTAGTACAGTGGTTCTCAACCTGTGGGTCGGGACCCCATTTGGGGTTGAACGACCATTTCACGGGGGTCGCCAAACAAGGCTGTCCGCCATTTTTTCCCCCTTTTCTTTGGCCACGCCCCTGGCACCCGGTGATGTATAAGTGGTTGGGGGTCACCACAACATGGGGAATGTATTATGGGGTCACGGCATTAGAAAGGTTGAGAACCACTGTCTTAGTATATGCTCTTACGGAAAAGTAGATTGAATTCTATCACATACAGGTAGTCCTTGATTTATAACAGTTCATTTAGTGGCCGTTCAAAGTTACAAGACATTGAAAAAAGTGACTTATGACCATTTTTCACACTTAGACTGTTGCAGTATCCCTGTGGTCAATGTGATCAAAATTCAGATGCTTGATAACTGATTCATAGTTATGATGGTTGCAGTGTCCCGTGATCATGTGATCACTTTTTGCGACCTTCTGACAAGCAAAATCAATGGAAAAGCCATATTCACTTAACAACTGTGGCAAGAAAGGTCATAAAATGGGGCAAAACTCACTTAACAAATGTCTCAATTGTCATAAATCAAGGACTACCTATGTATTTATTGAACCTATGCACATATATTGTTTCGAGATTTGAGAATCAGCATACAAATACATTTAATTAATTAACTATTATGAAAATGTGTAAATTGGTGTGACAGTATTTGTAAAGCAAGCTTGGCATTTGTAACAAGCAGTCCTCATCATATAATTTTTATAAGCTTAGGTCATGGTTAGGATGTGGAATATCCATACTGCAGATTAAGTTCTGTGATTTTAATGTGGCTGTTCCTCTAGTAACTTAGGCAAATAATGATAGCCAAGCCATAATTTGATCATTACATGTCAACTAAGCTTTTAACTGGGCAAATTACATGTACATTTCCATTCCTTGTCTTTAATTTATTTCCATTTTTTCCACTGAAATAGAAGTTGCAGGCAGAGTGTTTTTTTTCTAACACTTTCCCAACACTTTCCAAGTTAAGATAAGATAGTTAAGATAAAATTACTGTTCTAAGACGGAAATTTTTTTGTTTTAGCAAAATTAATACTTTACCATCAAGCAAACTGTAGTTTGCATTTAGTTTTATGTAGTGAAAAAATAGATTTCAGCAGAAAAATATGCTTATATGTATATGTGTGTACCTTATACATAGGCATGTGTGTGTGTATATACATATACACATACATATTTACTGTATATGTGTGTGTGTGTTTCAATTGTTTATGAAAGAACCTTCTCAGCTGAAGTCTGCTTTATTTTCAGCTTTTTTCTTGAAATATGAGTGTGTCCCACAAAAATGCTAGCCGCAAAAACCAATTCACATTTATAATCACCTCCAGGAACACAATGACAGGGTTGCATGAGTCTTTTGGTTATGATTCCCTCTCCAAACCAAAGAAATTGTGTACTTGGATACTTTTCTGGCAGAATGCTAGACAGACAAAGAATGCAGTTTTGGTCACTCTCTAAATTAGAACCAAAAGATAATAGGTTTTAAAATCAGTACCTTTCTTGCTCCAGAAAAGAGAAAGATTTTTTTTTAATGAAAATGTTTATGTAAGAAAGTGTTTTGTGCAGCAGCTGTTTCACATGATTCGATACTCATATAGTTAGAAGTCTTTTGGTGCCTTTTCAGAAACACTCCATTTTTTTTGTCTGCTTCAGTTCTGTCATAAATAAAATTCTTCTTACAATATTTGCTACAGCATTAATTCCACTGGTATCATTTTGGCTGTGTTGTGTTGCAGATCCACATTTATTCTCTTGGAATGACCCTTTATTGGGGAGCTGACTACGATGTTCCAGAAAGCCAGGTAAATAGTGGGAAAAAAATAATATAATTAGTCCATAATACAGAAACTGCAGACCCAATAAAGCTTAATAACTTAACTCACTCCCCCCTCCCACACTTTGGTTCCAAAGAACAGATCAGATTACTAAAGAAAAGGAGAAGGTGGAAGAACAATGATTAGCCTTTCTCTTGACCTTTGAACTCTTGAGTAGAAATGGGAAGAACTGGTTCCAAATTGGGAGTTGTTAAGGAAAGAAAGACTAAGAGGAGAGGCTATCTTAAAAAGTTAAAAAATGTCTTTCATGTACCCGGACTTACAGCCTAAATGTTGGAGATGTGGTTGCTTGGATGCCACCTATTATCATATTTGGTGGTCGTGCAGAGAGATAAAAGCATTTTGGATTAAGATATGGTGGAATATTCAGAGAATTTTCAGAAAGAGGGTAAAATTTACTCCGCAGCTATTTTTGTTGGGTATAATTACTGATTGTGATACAAAGGAGGTTATATTGATGTTAAATTTGATTACAGCCGCAAGGCTGTTAGTAGGACAATATTGGAAGAAGGAATCCTTGCCTACACTGCAGGAATGGTTTTTCAAAGTGTCTTATCTGGCAGAAATGGCAAAGATTTCGGCTTTTTTAAAGGAACAAACGCAAGAGAAATTTCTTGCTGTTTGGGATAAATGGATAGAATTTATACAATTTAAATTGGATATAAAAAAATATCATATTGCTTTTTCATAATTTTTATTTTTATATATATATATTTCAGTCTTAATTTTTTTTTCTTTTTTATATATAATTTTTTTTAATTCCTTTTTAATTAAGCCTATATTCTGCTCTGGGAAGCTCAGGGGGGGGAAGGGGGGGTGTTTTTGGGGGGGATGGGGAAGGGGATGTTATGTTTAGTTTTTTGTATATGTTGTTTTTTGGTTTTGAATCGTATTTTTTTTCTGTTTTTTTGTAAAATTTATAAAAATTTTCAATAAAAAAAAAAAGTTATATGGCTGCCAAGGAACAAATAGATTGGAAAAATAGTTGTCTAGATAAGAAATTCAGGACAGGGTATGCCTTAAGACAGTAGCCAGCCAGCCACTTTCAAGCTTGACAGTGAAATACAGTATCTAAATCTAAATACTGTACATGCATAAAAATATTACAAGCTCATAAAAATATCAGGTAAGGATACACCCAGAAAAATTTGAATGAGGAGAATATAAATGAATATATGTATTGTGCTTTTCCAGCAGAAAACGCAAAAATCAGCTAGTAAGTCCAGAAAAAATATTATGTCCTTCCCATGAGCATGGGAGTTGTCCTTTAATTGTAAACTCAATTTGCTACAGATATCCAGGCCGTTTGCATCATTACTTCTGATCCTCTTTTTATAATGTTTCTGTGTTATGGCATAGTATATCTAAGAAAAGCTCAAATTCACATATGTTTGTAGATACTTGGTCAGGGGTAGGCAACTTTGGCTCTTTTATGACTCGTGGACTTCAACTCCCAGAATTCCTGAGCCAGCCATTCTGAGGAGAAAGGGAGAGGTTTCCAAGCTGAGCCATGCTGGCTCAGGAATTCTGGGAGTTGAAGTCCACAAGTCATAAAAGAGCCAAGGTTGCCTACCCCTGTACTTGGTTGATCCAATTGTCAGGTGATAACTTTCATGGACAAATAATTCAGCTAGGAAATATTCTACTTTCCTAATAGTAAGATTAGTTACCTATGGAATTTGTGAATTCTTTACAGGATATGTTCAAAACTATTAGGGATATTTTCAGTTAGTTTCTTGCATGGAATAGCAATTAAATGGGTAGTTGAAAGGTCTCTTTCCACCAGTTCTATGGTTCTCCTGGTATATGATTTCATCATTGTTGTAAGGTGGACCCTTGCTTTATTAGGACTTAAGAAAAGACTCAGACATATAGCCATTCAGCTAAGATTTTCGTTTTATGGATTTTACCTTGCTGTGTGTTATTAGTTGATGATCTTTATGAACCGCCAAGACCCACTGAGGTGAACCTCAGATTAGTTTCTTAAAATAATGATGTATTTTTGCAGCCATGCTATAGTAGCCCAGCCTAGTCCATCCTTATTTAATAGAATATAAATTAACTGATTTTTTGATTTTAACTTTTTTAACAAAATTCTTAGTAATATACATAAATAGTACTCTTTCAGTGATTCATTGCAACATCGATTGATTGATCATGTGCTATCAAATCACTGTTACACATAGAAGATGGTTAAGACAGAGTGTACATGTGGAATTACAAACAACTTAAGAGCTAGCTGAACAATGGAATCCATTACATAGGGTAACACTAAATGTGTATGATGAAACTCACTGAATTTAAGATTGTTAACTCTTTTTTTAAATACAACTTTCTGTTCTGTTGAGAATGGAGAGATGTTTCAAAAGTCTCTTAAACTAATTTGGTTGAGTCTTCCTTGGTCTGGTGTCTTGCAGATATATTGGACTAAATGAGGGAAATTGAAAACAATATGTCTCGGCACAAAGTTTGGAAGGTTTCAGTGAAATGTGTGAAAGTGAGAAAGACAATCAGACAAGGAGACAATAACTGGATTTTTATCATACATGTATTTTTTTAATATCAGCCAATCAAACTTGGAGATCATCTGAACAGCATTCTCCTTGGTATGTGTGAAGATACTGCTTATGCTCGTGTATCTGTACGGACCGTTCTTGATGCCTGTAGTGCTCACATACGGAACAGCAACTGTGCACCTTCTTTCTCATATGTGAAACAGTTAGTCAAACTGGTTCTGGGGAGTTTTCCTGCGGTAAGTGTTTACATTTCCTTCTATCACCTTGAATGGAGTCACTGAAAATAAAAATTCCTGTGCTTGTCATCACCATCATTTCTTGCTGGACAGCATGACACTTGGGCTTAAGTAGTTCCTAAAGCTGAGACTGGCAAAACACTGTAAAAAATTCAGGACTTACTCACTGTCTCTTTGGTAAAAGCCTTGTTCCCTGTCCTGATCATCCATCAGTGTGGTGGAATGTAGTCTGGATTCCCAGGAGGGAAAGGCTGCTCTCCAGCAGCGGCAAAGTTTGGAAAGTTTGGTCAGCAGAAAGCTCCTCCCTTAAATTTTCTTAGAATATATGTCAAGCACGAAGAATCAGGACCACGTGTTAAATTCCAGTTAAGCTGATTTATTGCTGATGCCTATACACAGGAATCTAGTCAGCTAACAGTTAGTGCTAAATGGGATAAGAATTAACAGAATTCAAGAGGGGCTGGACTTGGATGGCTTGTGCGAATGTAACAACTCCAGGCTGATTCCTCTTTTGACTCTGCCCCCAGGATCCTGATGACATTGCCAAAATCTTGCAAAATGGCAATAGTACTGAGATTTATATGCCGCTTCACAGTGCTTTACAGCCCTCTCCAATGGGTTTATAGAGTCAGCATATTGCCCCCAGCAATCTGGGTCCTTATTTTACCGACCTCGGAAGGATGGAAGGCTGAGTCAACCTTGAGCTGGTGAGAATCGAACTGCTGGCAGTCTGCAGAATTAGCCTGCAATACTGCATTCTAACCACTATGCCACTGCGACTCTTGTAAAACTGTTAAAAGTTGGTAATGCTGTGAGAATTCAGCCATTTAAATCTATTTCGGTTCATCACACAGTCAGCCAGATGTTCAGGCTCGATTTGGCATTTTTGTCCACCTTTTGAGTCCTTCCCAGGGACCTAGGATAGGGCAGATGTGGATGTTTGAAGGTGTTATAGATATCGTCCCAGGATGGAAGCTGTTTCCAGTAAAGCTGCCTTTTGCAGTTGAGTGATGGTGAATTTGTCAATATTAATGATGTTCAATGGTGCCTCAAATGTTTTGTCACTGTACCGAAAGCACCTTTTGCTATGGTACTACTCTTGTTTTCTTTTGCCAGGTCCACTTGCATTCTATTCTATTTGCACGTCTTTGTGTTATTATTATTATTACTACTGTTAATTTGCCTGCATCACTGCTTGGAATGATTGGTACTGAATCATTTTGAAAAGTTTGTCTTTCATTCTGAGGATGCTTGACAAAGGGGCTTTAATTAGCAAGCCATTAAATTATTGTACAGACAGTGAGAATACTGCCAGTTAAATTTGTAACCCCTTTCAAGAGCCAAGGCAAATAATTTCAATTAATACAAGCTAGTCAAAATTCTGACCAAGGTTCCCTTTTATTTATGTTGAGGAATCTATCATACTCCATTAGTAGCTCTTGCTACTTTAATTTCTCTCAACTTCTTATTGAATCTTTCAGTTATTAGCTCTTTTCTTTTCTTTCTAATCATATGTTCTGCAAAGATGTGAGAATCTGGGAAAGAACTTTGCAGAAGCTGCGATTAGAGCCCCACCTTTTAGATAAGGATTGTTCTTACAAGTTCTGGCTGTGAGTCATTGCTGTTCTGGACAACTGGTTTCTCACACCTTTCCAAATCACTCTGCCCCAGAAGTTCATCTGCTCATTTTAGTCAACTGGATGTGTGGTTTATGGAATGTCCCCAAAAATAACATTTTTCCATTAAGTTGATTGTAGTAGGAAAAGGACAGGCAGAGCTTGGGGGTAGAATTAAGAGAGGAATCAGCCTGGAGTCATTACATTTCCACAAGTGGTCTAATCCAGTCCCTCTTGAATTCCATTAACTCTTATCTAGCGCCAATTTAGCACTGACCATTAGTTGATGAGATTCTTGTGTAGTGTAGGCATGGGAAATAAATCAGCTTAACCGGAGCTTAATGTGTGGTCCTGATTCTTCGTGCCTGACATTAATAAAGCAAATAGCATTTGTATGTTCCTGTTATTGATTTAATTTGTTATATTAGGCTTATGGCAGCATGCAACATAAAAACATAGTTAAAATGCCCACAATAAAAAAGGCACACAATATATTTACATAAATTAAGCAAAAGCCACAAGACAATGTCTACTACTAATAAAATAGCTAATAAAATCCTATTCCAGATGGTGCAGTCTTTCTCCATGACCATCCAGAAGAAGTAGTTTTTACTATTTTCTGGAGGGCCCATCCTAAGGACATCAGACCAGCTTCTAAAGCAGTGGTTCCCAACCTTTTCTATATCCCACACCCCTAGAATGCTTCTGATATATTCTCACACCCCTTACAAAGTTCAAAATAACGACAACAAATTATGCATATACACTATAATTTTGAAACTTCTAAACCCAGGGTTTTGCGCCCCCTGGAATATCGTCTCACACCCCCAGGGGAACCCCTATTCTAGAGGTTTTAGAAACCAAGATTGAAAAGCTGTCTGTAGCACAGCTTTTATCCTATCTGTAGCACAAATAGCTTCTACTAGGAGCATTTTTTCACATAGCTAGGTTCTGATAGGAGAAGGCAGTCCTTTAGATGCGGGTCCTTTATAAGTCAAAAGCAGCACTTTGAATTATACCCAGAGATTCTTTCCAGAAGGTCTGTTTACACAATTAATTGGTTCTCACAGATCTGTTAATTGCTGCATAAAACTTCCTTTAGATTTATATCTGCAAAAGTCACTGAAGATAAGTATCGTGTCTTTCAGTTGCACTGGAAACATGCATCTAATGTGATCAGATAACTGTATGTATTACTTTCTGTTTGTTTAATTAGAAAATTAAAATTAATTTTAATTTAATTTCTAAATTAATGTAATTTGGAAAATTACACATTCCAAAGCGCTGGCTTTGTAACAGGAAAGTTACATCCTTTGAACATGCTACATAGAAGTGTATCATCCTGAGAGTTGACAAAAGTTGTGTGCTTCCAGTATGCAGCATTACGGTTCAGTTTGCTTCCTCAGTAGCAAATCTCAATTTTTGCTGCTTGATAATTCAATCTACATTTTAATTTAGGCTGTTAGTAATAGTAATAGTAGTAAAGTTGGAAGGGACCTTGGAGGTCATCTAGTCCAACCCCCTGCTCGGGCAGGAAACCCTACACCATTTCGGACAAATGGCTGTCCAGTCTCTTCTTAAAAACTTCCAGTGTTGGAGCATTTACTGCTTCTGGAGGCAAGCTGTTCCACTGATTAATTGTTCTCACTGTCAGGAAGTTTCTCCTTAGTTCTAGGTTGCTTCTCTCCTTGATTAGTTTCCACCCGTTGCTTCTTGTCCTGCCTTCAGGTGCTTTGGAAAATAGCTTAATTCCCTCTTCTTTATGGCAGCCCCTGAGATATTGGAATACTGCTATCATGTCCCCCCTTGTCCTTCTCTTCGTTAAACTAGACATACCCAATTCTAGCAACCGTTCCTTATATGTTTTAGCCTCCAGTCCCCTAATCATCTTTGTTGCTCTTCTCTGTACTCTTTCTAGAGTCTCAACATCTTTTTTACATCGTGGTGACCAAAACTGGATGCAGTATTCCAAGTGTGGCCTTACCAAGGCATTGAAAAGTGGTATTAATACTTCACGTGATCTTGATTCTATCCCTCTGTTAATGCAGCCTAGCACTGTGTTGGCCTTTTTGGCAGCTGCAGCACACTGCTGGCTCATATTTAGGTGATTGTCTACTAGGACTCCGAGGTCCCTCTCACAGTTACTACTATTGAGCATGGTGCCACCTATGCTGTACTTGTGCATTTGGTTTTTCTTGCCTAAATGTAGAACCTTGCTTTTTTCACCATTGAATTTCATTTTGTTAGTTAGTGCCCAGTGTTCAAGTCTGTCCAGATCCTTCTGTATCTGAAGCCTGTCTTCTGGAGTGTTGGCTATTCCTGCCAGCTTGGTGTCGTCTGCAAATTTGATGAGTTCCCCATCTATCCCTTCATCCAAATCGTTGATGAAGATGTTGAAGAGTACTGGGCCCAGAACAGAGCCCTGGGGCACCCCACTACACACTTCCCTCCATATAGATGCAGTTCCATTGAGGACCACTCGCTGAGTACGGCCGGTCAGCCAGCTACGGATCCATCTGGTGGTGGTTCTGTCTACCCCACATTTTTCTATCTTGTCAAGTAGTAGGTTGTGATCTACTTTATCAAATGCCTTACTGAAGTCCAAGTAAATTATGTCCACAGCATTCCTCTGATCCACTAATTTTGTCACTTGGTCAAAGAATGCAATAAGATTTGTCTGGCATGATCTATTTTTGACAAACCCATGTTGGCTTTTAGTAATGACTTTGTTTGCCTCTAGGTGTTCGTTGATTCGTTGTTTGATTATCTTTTCCAGGATCTTCCCAGGTATTGAGGTCAGGCTGATAGGTCTGTAATTTCCTGGATCCATTTTTTTTCCTTTTTTGAGGATGGGAACTACATCAGCTCTTTTCCAGTCCTCTGGTAGTTCCCCTGTGTTCCAGGATCTTTGAAAAATATAGTTCAGTGGCTCCGATATCACATCTGCCAGTTCCTTGAGAACTCTGGGGTGTAATCCGTCTGGTCCTGGCGATTTGAACTCATCTAGGCTGGACAGGTGCTCACTAACGATTTTCTTGCCTATCTTAACTTGTGTTTCTGTTTTGTTTTTTGTGGCACTATTTTTGATAGGTTGGTCTGTTTTTTCCCTTTGTGTAAAGACAGATGCAAAAAATGAGTTAAATAGTTCTGCTTTCTCCCTGTTGCTTGTCACCTTCTTGCCACTTCCACCCACTAATGGACCAATCATTTCCTTCACTTTTTTCTTGTTTTTTACATGTTGAAAGAAGCTTTTTTTGTTATTTTTGACTTTGGTCGCAAGCCTCAGTTCATTTTGAGCCTTGGCTTTCTCACTTCATCTTTGCAGGCTCGGGCTATTTGCTGATATTCTGACTTAGTTATGTTCCCCTCTTTCCACTTTCTATACTTGTCCTTTTTATCTTTCAATTTGTCAGAGAGTTCTTTATGCAGCCATGCTGGTTTCTTTTGAGAGCTGTTATTTTTCCTCTTTGTTGGTATTGTGCTAGACTGTGCTTTTATTATCTCATTTTTCAAAATTTCCCAAGCTTCTTGAGTTGTTTTCCCCTTGAGGATTCTCATCCATGGAATCCTTCCCAAGCCCTCTCTAAGTTTATTGAAATTAGCTCTCTTGAAGTCCAAGACTCTAGTTTGACTGTGTTCTATTGGTTGTGCTTCTATAATGTTGAATTCTAATATTGCATGATCACTTCCTCCCAGGGTTCCTATGGCTCCAACACCGTCTATCATTTCATCTCTGTTAGTGAGAATTAGATCCAAAATGGCTAATCCCCTAGTTCCATTCTCTACTTTTTGGGAGACAAAGTTGTCTGCTAGGTTTGCCAGGAACCTGTTTGATCTTCCACTTGGTGCGGAGTTTGTCTCCCAGTTGATGTCAGGGTAGTTAAAGTCCCCCATTACTATTGTGATGTGCTTCCTACATACCTTAGTTAGCTGACTAGCAAAAAGTTCATCTATTTCCTCTGTTTGGTTGGGTGGTCTGTAGTATACACCTATGGCAATGTCATTCCCCCCCCCTTTTATATTGACCCAAATGCATTCAAGACAGTTTTTATCATTGTTGTACTCTATTTCTGTGAAGATGTAGTTATTTCTTATATAGAGAGCAACTCCACCTCCTCTTTTATTTGGTCTGTTTCTTTTAAATAATTTAAATCCCTCTAGCTGTGTGTTCCATGTGTGAGTTTCATCCCACCATGTTTCCGTAATGGCAACAATATCGTATCTGCCCTCATTAACCTGAATTTCTAGTTCACCCTGTTTGCTGTTCATACTTTGTGCATTGGTGTATAAACATTTGAGTCCTTTGTGGGTGGCCCTGTGTTTCCTTTCTACATAACCTGTGTGGTGCCTGAGTTCCCCTATTGTCTTACCACCTATTTGGTTAGTGCACTTTATATGGCACTCGCTATTAGAGGCTTCATTTTGATTGGTAGCAAGGTTGGTATTCTTGTCCACACACACATCTGTGCTACATGCACTGATAGCCCTATAGTTTTTAAATTGCCGGGGACAGGGTTGTTCCGTATCAATTAACTCCCTGTCCCCGCTGTTTAGTTTAAATTTCCCTCCAGAAAATCTGTGAATTTATAGCCGAGTAACTCAGTCCCTTTTTTTGATGGATGCAAACCATCTCTTTTGTACATCTTTTGATTGGACCAGCTACTGACATCGTGACTAATATATCCAAAGCCTTCCCCTTTACACCATTCCTTTAGCCACATATTGAATTGTGCTATGCGCTGGCCTTTTCCGTTTTGCTCCTTATACACTGGTAAAACCTCTGAGAAAGTAAGCCTACAGCCTATTCTGCTAAGTTCCTTCCCCAAGCTCTGGAAATCATTCTGGAAATCAGGCTGTTTTCATTTCTTTTTTTTATTCTGGTTTTTTTTTAAATTAAAATTTTGTCAATTCAGAATAAAAGGCAGGCAATGATTAAATAAATGAACAATAAATAAAAGATGTTAGCTTCTTTGCCAGTTTGTTCATTTTTTTTAGATGTTTATATTTCTTCCAGAGATTCAGGACAGGTTACTTGGTGGTCTCCATTTTATCCTCAGTTCTTCAATCAGAACTGAAGAAGCTTCTTGGATGAGAAGCAAAGTGTCGTCAAGGAAAAACAAAGTCCAGTTGAAAAAAGCATCTTTGGGACATAATTTAGGAAGGACTGCAAAAGAAAGGCAGACTGCGGCTTATTATGCTAAGCTACAAACCAGCTCACTGTGGTTAAAGCAAATCATAACTCAGGAAAAATCCTGCTGTTGCACAAGCCATGATTAAAACATTCCATGGTTGACGCAGTGCACAAATCATATATATGTGGATATTGAAGGATAGTTTTATTAGGCTACCTGAGTTTTAATCGTTTTAAGTTTCTACTTTCAGTGGATGGAAGAGCGTTTGTCTAGTGCAGGGGTAGGCAACCTTGGCTCTTTTATGACTCGTGGACTTCAACTCCCAGAATTCCTGAGCCAGCATAAAAGAGCCAAGGTTGCTTACCCCTGGTCTAGTGAGTTTATGCTAGTCTAACTTTTTTTAGTTCTTCATGTTCTGCCTTTTTTGTTGCAATAGGTAGACCAGCTTCCTTGCACAGGGGACAAAAAACTTCACACAGACAAGAGCCAGGCCATTCGAGAGAGGCTGAGAGGAAAACGGCTTCCCACAGGTAAAGGTTTATTTACAAAGGAAACATTAATGGAATGGAAATATGGCTGATATTTAATCTTCCACCTTCTAGATTAGTCTCATAAAAGCAGCAGAGTGCCTCCTGATGTTACAACCAGTATAATAGTTTCACAGGTTATCTCTTCACAGATTCTCCTAATAAATGGCCTGATGATACGGTAACAATCTGAACATAAAAGAGGTAGAAGCCATGAGTTGTGAAGAATTGGCTATAAAGCATCTTCGTTGCTTTTCAGGAAGATAACTTAGGAACAAAATAGATGAGATATTTTTCTGATATCTTTTGTTAAGATAAAAAGGCCTGTGGGAAAGACGAGGTAACCTTTTCTTTCACAGTTAAAAAGGTAAAGGGTTCTCTTGTCCACCCATGTCTGACTCTAGGGCAGGGGTAGGCAACCTTGGCTCTTTTATGACTCATGGACTTCAACTCCCAGAATTCCTGAGCCAGCATGGCTCAGCTTGGAAACCTCTCCCTTTCCCCTCAGCATGGCTGGCTCAGGAATTCTGGGAGTTGAAGTCCACGAGTCATAAAAGAGCCAAGGTTGCCTACCTCTGCTCTAGGGGGGCAGGGCTCATCTCCGTTTCTTAGACGAGGGAGCCATCATTGTCCGAAGATCCTTTCCATGGCCATGTGGCTGGCATGACTACACGCCAAAAGCGCATGGAATGCTGTTACTTTCCCACCAAAGTGTAATCTATTTATTTACTTGCATTTACATGCTTTCAAATTGCTAGGTTGGCAGGAGCTGGAGCAAGTAACGGGAGCTCAGTCCATCCTGTGGTACTTGGTCTCAAACTGCCAGCCTTCTGATCGACAAGCCTGACGTCTTAATTGCTCCTTTTTCACAGTCAGCCCAATAAAAATTCTCCTCCCTTATTCCCTACCTTGACTGTTGGCTGTGGAAAGGAAGCTTCCGTTCACACTAATGGTAACTTTTTATCTGAGTTCGAGCAACTGAAGGGGAGGGATTTTTTTTCAGTCAAGCCCACTCCTCAAATCTCTGTCCTTTTGAGGAACTGAATTGCTTTCATCCACTTAACATGTCATCTAATTTGATCTTAAGCTAATACAAGTGTTGAGTTTGATCTTAAGTTAATGCAAGTGTTAGGTGTTTCACACTCTCTATTCCATATTCCACATGCTGGGATGAAAGGATGTCTCAGGCTTTAGCACATTCATTCATGCACAACCATCTTTGATATATGCCCATAATTGCACATATTTATGTATGTTTGGCATGAGATGCATTACATAAACACACACACACACACACACAACTCTAATGTAATTTGTCTTCTATCACACTGTTAGAGGCATATGTGCTTTTTAAATAAATGACAGTTTTTTTCTCTTTGTTATGGTGTATTGTAAGAAAGTGGGAAGGACACATGTTTGCCCTAGGATTTTGTCCTAGGAGTAGTCACAACTTTTGGAGGCAATTCTTTCCACTGATTAATTGTTCTAACTATCAGGAAATTTATCCTTAATTCTAGTTTGCTTTTCTCCTTGATTAGTTTCCAGCCATTGCTTCTTATCCTGACTTCAGGTACTTTGGAGAATAGGTTGGCCCCCTCTTCTTGGTGGCAGCCCCTTAGATATTGGAACACTGCTATCATGTCCCCCCCCCCGTCCTACTTTTCATTCAACTAGACATACCCAATTGACTATAATGGTACATGTTTAAATTAATTGTACATCTTTAAATTTAAATAAATGTAATTGAGTTTACTATTACAGTCATATGATATTTGATTTTATTATAATTCAATAACTTAATTAATCAATGGTTAAATATGTTATTACTTAATTGTTATCTAATAAAATTACTAATATATAATAAAACCTTATGAGGTATGCTACAAATACATTCCTTCAAATCAGAACTTGAAAACTAATGGTAACTTGAACTGAAAAAATGAATGGTAATTACCTGAAAAAATGAGGTATCCCAATTAATTAGAAGAAAGAATGAACATGGAAAGTAGATACACAATTCTAGGGCTTTTTCAACTTCACTCTATTGCAATATACAGTATGTTGTTGCTACTCCATTCTTATTCATTTGTAAACCACCCAGAATCATTTAAGTGAGATAGGTGATGCAGAAATTCAATGAATTCATCTTTGGTGTAACTTCATGGAGATTCTTTTTGGGGGGGGGGGGCCTAAAACAGCTGTTGTGTTCATTTTTAGCATGGCAAAACCAAGTTATTAAGAACAGCTTTTGCTGTTTTCTTGAATGTTTAGTGGCATCTTCCTTTACAGGCTAATTTAAGATCCACGCGGTCATAGCTTCTACTGCCCAAATCCTCAATAGCCATTTGATAATGTTTTCTTTTTTATCTTGAGGTCTCCCAACGCTGAAATATTGAGAATATTTTTAATCCTATGGTTTGTCCTGAATTTTTAGTAATGTGAATACTCACCCTAAAGCTACATAAAAGGGAAATAAAACAAATTTGCTTACCTACATATACCACCTATATATTCCTTCATATTTATATATTAATTTGGATCATCTATCTATCTGTCTGTCTGTCTGTCTGTCTGTCTATCTTGAATAATAATGTAATGAGTTTTTAAGAGAAATTAAAATGGCATGTCCTAGATCAGTCTTTCTCAAACTTGGCAAGTCTTAAGAAGTGTGGAGTTCAGTTTCCAATATTTCCTATCCAGCATGTTTTTTTCTGAAGAAAATAAAAAAAAATCAATATAAACAATTTCATGAGCTGAAAGTGAAAAATGTTGAAACATTACCAGAGAAAAGCTTGATAATGTCCATTAACTTCATTGTGACTAGTTGAATGAAATTAATATGAGATTTTTTTATCATTGGTTGTTGATAACATGTAATGTGATTTATTAAGGGTTAGATAACAGCCTCAGCTATTGATGGATTTCCTAGTTGACACTTTGCCGATAAAAGCTATATTTATCTCTTGGACAGAATTGAATTTTGTCCTTCTAATGTATCCTTTGACTCTTTCTTATTTGGTGCAATATGAAAATTAGCAGTTCCTATTTCTCTGAAACACTGCTTATTATGAAGAAGCAACAGAATGAGTTTAAGAATACCAAGTGCTATGTGGTACTGCTTGAATAAATTCAAATGTTGTGAGCTGGTCTGTTTAAGAACTTTGTGGAGATACTTTAGTATTGATATACAGAATGACCAAGAAGCAAAGCAAAGAAAGTTAAGTTGGTCCACAGATTGTTGGAAGGAAGGTAGGTAGGTAGGTAGGTAGGTAGGTAGGAAGGAAGGAAGGAAGGAAGGAAGGAAGGAAGGAAGGAAGGAAGGAAGGAAGGAAGGAAGGAAAGATTTAGCTTTTTTTTTTGAAAACCTGTAGTCTTCAGGATAAAAAAAATGGCATACTGTAGTTCAAGAGAATATTATTTAAGATGTTATAGTTGATAAGAAGCAATGTAATTTCTTTTGAATGCATAGAATTATTTTCATTAGTTTGATAGTCAGCTGATCATTAGAACCTAACCACAAAAAATCCTCCTAACTTTAAAAGCGTTTGTATCCAATCCAATTCTTCTAGAAAACTTGACAATTAGGAAGGGTTCAACTACATCCATATCCAAGAGAGATTCTTCTCATTCTCATTCCAGGAAGAATGACTGATGCAGCAGCTGGTTACCAGGCTCCATTTTCTCAACAAACCATGCTTAACAAAGGGCTTAGTAAGTCGTTGGAGTTCCTGTCAATCAGTGACTCACGAGGTGAAAAGGAGCTTGCTCAAAATATTGTCTCTGATTACAATTCTGGCCATGAAGACAGTGCAGATACTTGCTGTCCTTACCGATTCAGAGCTTCCAACCTGGAAAAGAAAGCCAACAGTAATCCCAAACGCAAAGTATGGGCTTCTTCCTCTGATCTGTTGTGCACAACTCACAAAGTCACAGAGGGAGACTATGTCGCAGATTCTCATAAGCACCATCATCAAGGCGGAACCATTTCAGGGCGGACTTCAGGAGCTCTCAGAAACAAAGAAAGCAGATATTCTGATGGGAGCATAGCTCTGGATATATTTGGCCCTCAAAAACTTGACCAAGTGCTTCATGTATCAGAGACCTCAACATCAGCAGCCTTATTATGTGCCTTTGACAGGATCAAAGAGAAGCAGAAGAAATTGCAGTTGCTGAGAGAAGCCATGAATGTAGAAGGTCAGTAGATTTTTCTACATATTATATTTGACATGTGACATCCTTCACATTGTCAAAATAATATATGTTTGTGTGAGAGAGACATTTCCTATTTTGCATATTTGGTACTGAACTAGTTTCCGGGCTGGTGCTCATCTCTGTTTCTTAGCCAAGGGAAGCAGCATTGTCCAAATGGTCATGTGGCCAGCATGACCTTCCCACCAAAGTTTATGATCCTCTCACCAAAGTGGTACCTATTTACCTACTCACATTTGCATGTTTTTGCATTGCTAGGTGGGCAGGAACTGGGACAAGTAACGGGAACTCACCCCAGTGTACAGCGCTCATGTCTCGAACCTGGGCTGTTAGCTTTCCAGTTGAGGAGCTCAATGTCTTTAACCACTGAGCCATTGTACTCCCTTAGTGGAAGGTATATAAGAAAAAAATAAAAACAGTTTATAGAGTACATGAATCCAACAGGTGTTTCCACATTTGTTATATTCTGTTTACCCTGGAATTTATGATACAACCCCTTTTCTCCATGATTCCTTAATCTTTCAGCTTTGTCAATTAGCTAAGTATGATCCTGCAGAGGTTTCCAGATTGCAGTTCCTGTTAGACAAACTAGGAAGGTCTACACTATGGTGAGATTTCAAGTCCCCACATCCCTGAATTAGATGTTGCAGCAATCTTAAGTTAAATATACCTAGGTTTAGGTATAATCTAGTTGAAAAACCATTGGCAAACATTGTGTTCAATGCCTTGAATCCAACTTGGGGAGTGTGTGCAGAATCCTGGCTAGCATGAACAAAAGTTTAGCTCTTGACATTGACACTGGAATCTCAGTAGAACTTCATTTAAACTCAAATGCAGAAAATAACAGTTTTTCCCAGCTAATAATTCAACCAAAGAAATGAAGAATAGTTTTCCAAGAACACAAAAGCTCAAATAAGTACGTAGGTATATTGTAGAATATATGTGAAACTGTCAGAAAAGCAAGTACTGTGTATCAAATACAAGTTCTGTTTATAATAAAATTAATACTCAAAATTCTTGTGCCCGAAGAACAAAAAAAGCCTTAAAATGTTCTTTTTGGGGTAGGAAGCCTAGTTCCAGCCATTTCCCAGATAGATTTGTTATTAGGCCACATACTTTTAACCATGCGAAAATTACCACATAGTAATTCCAAATAATGAAATTATTTCTTGTCATTCTGATATCAGGGTCTGATAGTAAAAGTGCAATTAGTTTTACAACTACCTAAACTTTATTTAAAACAACAGCAACCCAAACCTTAACCCAACAATAATTTCTACTACAGCAGTCCCACCAATAAAAATAAAATTGGCCTGTATTGTTTCAGATGGAGCCCAAAGCACAATTGTTCAAGTGAAACAAAATCCACGTATTTCTATTCTTTCAATTTTGAGACATTTGGAAAGGAAGGAATAATTCTGGTCAGTTTTGGCTCTTGACTCTTGGAGATGATGACTTTGCTAGTATCATTCATTCATCCTGGAACTCTGTGCATTGCATTATTTTGTGTTCTTTTCTTTATAAAGACTTCATTTTAAAAGGCAAAAAAGTTGTATTTGTTTATTAAATTTATGTTGCTCCGTTGGTAAGCTAAGCATAAGAGTTGTTCTGTGTCTTTATATGCACACACAAAGACATCTTAATAATAATAATAATAATAATAATGTTGGAAGGGACCTTGGAGGCCATCTAGTCCAACCCCCTGCTCAGGCAGGAAACCCTATACCATTTCAGACAAATGGCTGTCCAATCTCGTCTTAAAAACTTCCAGTGTTGTAGCATTCACCGCTTCTGGAGGCAAGTTGTTCCACTGATTAATTGTTCTAACTGTCAGGAAATTTCTCCTTAATTCTAGGTTGCTTATGTCTTTGGTTAGTTTCCACCCGTTGCTTCTTGTCCTGCCTTCAGGTGCTTTGGAGAATAGCTTGACTCCCTTTTCTTTGTGGCAGCCCCTGAGATATTGGAACACTGCTCTCATGTCACCCTCATCCTTCTCTTCATTAAATTAGACATACCCAATTCCAGCAACCGTTCCCTATGATCAGTCCCCTGATCCTCTTTGTTGCTGTTCTCTGTACTTTCCTGGATTGACTTATTTGTTCTGTAAAGACATCAGCACCAGGGTTATGTAATAATTACATAATTGATAACAATTACATTTTGGAACTATACTTGATCAAGGGTGTGAAAACGGATCCAGTTATACATGTACAAACCTCCTTTAGAGCTTTCGTACATTTGTTAAGGAGCACTGCCTAGGAATATGATGTCATGTCCAACTCTAAGGGGCAGTGCTCATCTCCGTTTCTTACCCAAGGAAGCCAGCATTGTCCGAAGACACTTCCGTGGTCATGTGGTCAGCATGACTATATGCCAAGGCACACTGAACATTGTTACTTTCCCATTGAAGTGGCACCTATTTATCTACTCTCATTTGCATGTTTTCAAACTGCTAGGTTGATTGAATGATATAAGAATCTGGATGCTGGTCAAATTAGCCACTTAGCAAATCAAAAAGCAACACGTTAAAACCAGAAATCAAAATGTAATAATTATCTTGTTCCATAATACTTTTGTTCTATAAGGTTATTTGCAATTGGCTGTCTAAGGTAGAGAGCTACCTCAGAATCTAAATTCAGCCCAGAGAGATTCAGAATTGATCATGTTTTCATTGATTAACTTAACCTTGATATCTTCAGTGACTTTTTTTTCCCAAAATTATATGCTTATCTGCAACCACATGCCTCTCAGGTTGACCATCCCATGCTCTGATGAATGAATACATAAATAAAACTTGATGAGTGTTGCTTGTTTCCATTGTTTATCCTTGTTCAGGGGTTATAGATAGAGCTTGATATTCCCACAGTTATGTCAATTCTGTAACATCACCATCTTCTTTGTATCATGAGAATTATTTGGTACACATTATATGCTAGATCCAGGATTTAGCTAAACAGGATGCTGAAGTTGTTATTACTGTGCTAATTACCTCTTCCCAGTCTTTCATGCTAGCTTCACAATATCCAATTACATCTGTAATTGCTGTCTTTCTATATAAAAATAATGCATAGTTAAACTTATAATATTATAATAATTACTTCTCTGCAGCAGGGAATAAAAAAACAACTATTACTATTTTAGTTAGGCTAACCATTCCTTCATCTTTACCAATAATTTAAATGTTTTAATTCTGTTTTATTTTAGAAGACAAATTCTCGGTTTCACAACATGTTTGTGGTTTTGTGGATGAGCAAATCTGACACTATATGCAAAATATATTGCTTAACCAAGCAACATTTTTCTCATTAAATCCAGTGGTTATTAGATCTGATTTAATGTGGTTTGGGCAGCTGTAAAACTTTAGACTTGGAATGTAATATATTGCTTATTGAATAAGCTAGCAGGATTGGGGGCTATTGCTTCAGAAGGATTAGGGTTGAGAGAAGAGAAGTACATTTTTTCCTTGGTCAACCTTTCCTAATTCCACATGTCAGAAAGTTTATATGATTTTGGCCCAGTTATAATATGACATTTCTCATTAGAATGGATTTTTATAATATTTTAAATAACTTTATGACATTTAAAAATAACACCATTAATATGTTTTTATGAACACATATTTCTTCTTCCAGAGTGTAAAAAACAAATGATTTAAAGCTTTGTTAAACTAGTAGCAGTATTTATCTTAGCTATAAAAAAAAAATATATCCAAATAACAGTCAAAAGGAACCGTCCTTCACATTCTTTAGACCTGGATTGTCAGTGCCTTCAATACTAAACAGGTCTAGGTTTCTGCCAGCTTTCTCTTCTTGGAACGACAAACTCTCCATCCCTTTAATAATTTGATGACTGGTCATCATGAAGTGATGAAAATCTTCATAAAATGTCATGAAGACCCAGATAATTTGGAGAATAGATATGCATCCTAATCCTAGTCAACGATGCCAATTTAACATATCTTGTTTTCCACTGTAATCTGTAGTGGGGAAATCTCTTTAGTCAGGATATTTGCCAAAATATGTCTTTTTATGGCAGGGGGAAAAAAAGAAGAAGCGTGAAGTGAATTAATGATTTATACTGTGGTAAATGAATACTGAAAATCCTTGCTTTTATTTGGATTTTGTTTTTATTATCTTGCACATGTTGAAATGAAAACCAAGCTTTAAATGTACATTTCCTTTTTTAAACAGCAAAAGGGTGATTAGAGCTTCTTGGGGGGGGGATTACAAATGGACTGAGGATCCAGATGGATTTGAAATGAGAATTTGGAATTAATTACAAGAATCCCTGCCATGGGAAAATGCTTTTGTTTTGAATTCTTAAAAGTAACATAATAAGATTTTAAAAATTGGACATTGAAGAGAAGTAGAAGAATTAAAGAATACTTACATTTGGACACATTGAAGGATAATTTTGAACAATGGACCCAGAAGTTAATTTTAAGAGAGCTAGATAGACTGTTTAAAAGATGTTATAGCATAGGAATAAGTTTTACCTGACAAGATTGAAAATGGATTTTAAAATGACTTGCTAGTAGAATGACGTACAAAATAAACTGGGTAATGTTTTAATAATTAATATACAAATAACAAAACAAGAGAATGACCTGGATAATTTTCATATTCATATTTTCTATATGATTTACAAGAGAGGCTTGTTAAAACTTTGAGGAATTTTGTGAGAAGAAACAAAAAAATTTGAAAAGAAATGAAATTCCAGGACATTATTTGAAGGGAATAGAAATCAAGATAGTTAGAAGTAAAAGGAAGGAATATAAAGTTGGTTTATTTGATCAAGGTTGAAATATACACTTTGTTATCTCTGGTAACCCTTAATGTACTTTTGCTGATACCAGGACTGAAATGACAAGGCTTTAAGTGTTTGTTTATAGATAAGAGATGGAATATGGGAAAAATAAATCATTTGCTGTATTTTTAGATAAATTTATAACTCACTAAAATTATTTATACTTGTTGCAATGAAGGTGAAAGTAATTTCTTCATATATTTATTTTTATTGACTATATTTTTTCTATTTTTGGCACATCCTATTTTTTTCTTTTTAATTGTTTCAATTGTAATTTTAAATAAAATTACTATACAAAGAAAGTGAGAGAAGGGATAAATGTTTTTTACAGAGTCTTTTCATTACTTACTTATTTCTAAGTACCTCTGCACCTAGAATTCTAGTTCTAATCAGGTTTGAGAATGCCTTGTCAGTTCCTAAGGATTCTGAAAATTGATTAACTTAATAGGTAGGCAGCCTATCTCAGAAATTATTCTTTTACAGGAAAAATAATATTAAAAACTTACATCAAAGACCCTCAATACTTTAGCAAATGACTGAAATTATGATTTGCCTTTACAAACATAAATGTTAAGGATACCAATTTGGGCCAATATTCCTTCCTAGTTTTCTTTTCATTTAAGTAGATAATCTTTCATCCAAAACGTATCTAGTGAAACGCAGACATCGTTTATGAAAAGGTCACTTTGGTTTAGGAAATATTTTTATTTTGGACAGTGCATTATAATCCATGGAATCCAGAAACAGTTTTCAACACCACTAATAATGGGATGTACAATGCAACCCTCTACCTACCAGGAAAAAATTATGCACTCCTATTGTGGAAGAAGTCAGTGACTGCATTAAACCCTGGATAAGCTTTGTTCTCTTCTGTTTCTTTACAATTCTTTCAGAGCGCGTACGAAAATATAAATCTTACCATAGTGATGTATGCAGCACTGACAGTGAGGGCCCATCATTCATTTCTTCCGAGACAGATTTTAGACAAGGTAAGAATTATGTGGTAATTGGCCTTCAGTTGGTAGACTATTTGTGCTAGAAATGATGCTCCATTGTCATTGGTGATGCTGACAGTATTATTTTATTTTTTCATTTCCATGGTTGCTGCTTAAGAATGGATGTATATAGATAGTACTCATACTTAGGCAGAGGGGAAAAAATTAAAATAGTTCTTTGGTTTTTCTCAAGATTTAGGAGGGTGGTAGCCATGCTACCTAAATCACCTAAATATGAGCCAGCAGTGTGCTGCAGCTGCCAAAAAGGCCAACACAGTGCTGGGCTGCATTAACAGAGGGACAGAATCAAGATCATGTGAAGTGTTAATACCACTATACAATGCCTTGGTAAGGCCACACTTGGAATACTGCATCCAGTTTTGGTCACCACGATGTAAAAAAGATGCTGAGAATCTAGAAAGAGTACAGAGAAGAGCAACAAAGATGATTAGGGGACTGGAGGCTAAAGCATATAAGGAACGGCTGCTGGAACTGGGTATGTCTAGTTTAATGAAGAGAAGGATGAGGGGGGACATGATAGCAGTCTTCCAGTATCTCAGGGGCTGTCACAAAGAAGAGGGAGTCAAGCTATTTTCCAACGCGCCTGAAGGCAGGACAAGAAACAACGGGTGGAAATTAAGCAAGGAGAGAAGCAGCCTAGAACTAAGGAGAAACTTCCTGACAGTTAGAACAATTAACCAGTGGAACAACCTGCCTCCAGAAGCGGTGAATGCTCCAACACTGGAAGTTTTTAAGAAGAGACTGGACAGCCATTTGTCCAAAATGGTATAGGGTTTCCTTCCTGAGCAGGGGTTGGACTAGATGACCTCCAAGGTCCCTTCCAACTTTACCATTATTATTATTATTTTGGATCATCGCACAGTCATCCAGATGTTCTGACTGGATTTGGCATTATTATTATTATTATTATTATTATTATTATTATTATTATTATTATTATTATTATTATTAGCAATTTTGGGAATCTGAGGTTGGCAATGGATTGAATGATAAAACAAACATGAGGCTTTATTGTTATCATCTTATTTTTATACTGCCATTTCTTCTGCACAAGGCCAGAGCAATTTACAAGAAAGGAGTACAAGTAGTGTTAAATAAAATCAACAGGATAAAATTAACAATTCTTAAAAATGATAAAAACAAAAAATACAAGTGTAATTTAGAAAAATACGTCGGCAGGAAATCTAAAATATAATCTGGTCCTTAAATTGACTGGTATCCTATAAATCTCTGGGCAGAGATGAAAGTGAAGTTGCTAGGCAACTTTCCCCTGAAGTGCTGGCATTGAGAAGGCTTTCCCAAGTGATCTTACCTGCACGTACTGGAGGATGATGTTTTATATCCTAAGGCTCTAGCACTATATAGACAAATGTGAACTACTTTAACTTGCACCTGGAATCTCACATGCAGTGAGATGCTTTCAGCCATGTAGCCACCTCACTTCACAGAAGACCAGTTGTGTTCTGCCTACATTGCTCCTTGTGGACCACTTTCAAGGGCTGCATTCTGCAGAGTGCATTGCTGTTCTGATCCTGAGGGGTTAGATCATGGATTACTGAAGCTACAGGTAGAATTGTGAGCATCACCAGTTACAAAATTCCCATCTATTAGAGCACTGTGTCTTAATCTTAGCAACTTTAAGGTTGTGTGAACTTCGACTCTCAGAATTCCCAGCCAGCATGCTGAGAAGAAACACTGTATTAGAGGACAGAATGATGAAATTGCTCTCTGTTGCCATCTCCAGCAATTAGGATGCTTTATGTTATCACTTTTTTTCCGTGTTGAATAGATAGATATGCTTTCAAATGAAAGGTTGGGTGCAACTATTTTGTTTTCTAAGAATACCTACACATTCTATAGTATGTATCCCCAGAATATTCATTGAAAATTAATATGATTCTGAAAGCTGGCCTTTTGAAGCATGACCATTTCCCTATCTTTCCCTTTAATTAAAAGAAATTGAATAAAATAAAAATTATGAAAACACAAAAGTTATTGGTGCCAAAAAAGATATCCATGGGTATTTTGATGGACTTGAGTGCCATGTTATGAATCTCTACTGGGTATTATAGCTATTATTGGACAAAATTCTTGTGAATGTGCTGCAGAGATTCTCAAAAGATTGAACTCTGTTTCCTTATTACTCTTTGCCTAGAATGTTTTTTTTTCCCCAGAGATGTTTTTTTCATGAGGCAACTGCACTTTCTTGTTTTTCTTTAAAGATGTTTCGCTTCTCATCCAAGAAGTTTCTTCAGCTCTGACTGGGTGATGGGGAATGGAAAGAGCTAAAGAAGCTTCTTGGATGAGAAGTGAAACGTCTTCAAAGAAAAACAAGAAAGTCCAGTTGCCTCATGAAAAAAGTATCTTTGGGATAATTGTGACCTGGATGACTGAGAATCTCCATAGACATTTTTTTTTTCTTGAGATAAACAGTGCCCCATCTGGAAGTGCAGTTAGCACATATTTCAGTGTTACTTGGTTAATAAAGCTTTTGTTTCTATGGAAAAAGATGGAATATTTCTTTTTTTTTTTTATTAAAAAGTTTTACAAAAATTACAAAATATACCCCAAAACCCACCCACCCTCCCCACCATCCCCTCCCCCTCTTCCCAGAGTTGAATACAAGGTAACAAATATAATAATCATAATCTAACTAACATTAACCAAATATATAGATAAACAAATATAATGCGCTTTAACTCCCCTTCAACACAGAATAAACAATTTGCAAATAAACTTAATCATATAAACAAATTAAAATCCTAATTCATAAACAATACAATATAATAAAAATTTCACTATAATAAACTATTAATAATAATAATATTCTAAAATTTATTCATAAAGTAAATGGAACTTTTTAATCCCATATTTATTCTGAATATAATCTATCCATCTTCTCCAAACCGAAATATATCTCTCTTGTGAATGATCCTTCAAATAAGCCGAAATTTTTGCCATTTCTGCTAAATTTGAGACCTTAAGGGTCCATTCTTCTATAGTAAAGATGGAATATTTCTAAGAAACTTTGGGGACCACCAGATATTTTTGATCTTGCCACTGTGGACACAATGATGTATATGGTCCCTTCAGAAGCAACTTTTTTATCAAATATTATTTTATGAATATTTTCTGTGCCAATAAAATATCTTCATCCAGCTTTAAATCATGAATTTTCTTGTTTCTTCTTCAAGTGCCAGTGAGGAGGTATGAAGCTCTAAAAGATGAATCCAGTGTTTCCTCCTTAAGAATAGATGATACCTCTTCATCAGGTCAAAAACAAGGACAAAGATCAAGGTAAAAAAAGAACAAAAAACTCAGAGTTAAAATGTTAACAGTTCCTCTCCAGATCTACAGGTATGGTTCATAATTGAATGCCTTTGTATAAATAACCAAACTCTTTGAAAAAAACTACTTAGATATTTATCCAAAAGAAAGACGATGCCCTCTCAGAAGAAGGTGGATTTAAGCCTATCAAAAGTCCTGCACATCACTCACTTTCTCTAGCTAATCATCCCAATTTTTTCAACTCCAGCTGAAGCCAATTCTGAAAACTGTCACTTCCGCCATAATGCACAAATGTTAGCAAATTGTTGTTTCAATTCCTAGTACACCCAAGTAGGTGACCCGCTTATGAATCCAAGGAAAAATACTAATGGGCAGTGTGAATGGCATTGATGCATCAATGACTTAATTTAACGTAAGGCAGATTTCTATAGAGTCATTGGATAAGAGTCATGAGGGGTATCCATATAGGCTTCAAGCAAGTCCAGTTTGCATTCCTAATATTTAAGACTGATTTCAGATTTTGCTTGTTATAGAACAAAGAAAAAGCAGAAGGAACCAGCCTTTTCTATTATGCAGTTTCTGTAATGTAGGAGTTGCAATGCTTCTTCCTATCCAGTCTTTAATTGAAGATACATTATATGTCACCGGTGTCAAACCTGCCACATCACGTGATATGTCACGACACATCACGACTCTTTTTGCATTGCCAGCAATGGGGTGGGTGCAACTTTGGTATGATGAAACTGGCCCGTGGGCCGGCAGTTTGACACACCTGTTATATGTTATTGCCTGTGAGAGAGATGAAAATAGTTTGCTTTAGGCAGTAAAGAGAAAGAAGAAAAACAGGCGCCAGAATGCGATTGGACTAGGATTAAGAGATGCCAGTTCAAATCCATTCCCAATCCCCATCATGTCCTGCAAGGCTTGCAAACTCAGGAAACAAGAACATTAAAACAATTATCCTGCACAATGTATCCCTAGTATAATAAGGCAAAGTTCTTCTAACTCTTTCTCATACTTTTTCCCATTGCAATGGACTTAATAATTTCATATGTAATGGCCTTGTTTCTTGCTTAACTGTCTTGCTATCTCTGCTCTAGTCCTGACATACATAGGCCTTCCTTACATCATAGGCACAGAAGCTCAGTAGGTGTCTGGGTGAGTCAATCTCTCAGCCGAGGTGGCGCAGCAGTTAGAGTGCAGTACTGCAGGCCACTTTTGCTGACTGTGTTCAGCAGGTCAGCGGTTCAAATCTCACCGGCTCAAGGTTGACTCAGCCTTCCATCCTTCCGGGGTAGGTAAAATGAGGACCCAGATTGTTGGGGGCAATGTAAATATATATATACATTGCTTACTGGTGTACACCGCTTAGAGAGTGCTTGCACTTAAAGCGGTATATAAGTCTCATAAATAAATAAATAAATCCCAACGTGCCCCACACCTTTGCTGTTGTGGGGAAAAAATCGGAGGAGAGAAGACTGTGTACAGGTAGTCCTCAGCTTATGACCATAATTGAGCCCAAAATTTATGTTGCTAAGCAAGACATTTTAAGTGCATTTTGCTCCATTTTATGATGTGTCTTGCCACAGTTGTTAAATGAATCACTGCAGTTGTTACATTAGCCACATAGTTATTCATGAATCTGGCTTCTCCATTGAGTTGGCTTGTCAAAAGGTCACATGACTCTGGGATATTGTAATATTGTCATAAATTTGAACCACTTGCCAAGCATCCAAATTTTGATCACATGACCATGGGGATGCTGCAACAGTCATAAATATGAAAAATGATCATAAGTCACTTTTTTTAGTGCCATCGTAACTTCGAACGGTCACTAAAAGAATGTTTGTAAGTTGAGAACTACCTCTACGTTGCTGTAAGATATATTCCATCTTTCTTCTGCTGGAAGAAAGATGGAATATATGTACAGCAAAGAAATATACTCAACTGATAATAGTCTATAATTTACAGTACTAGTTTGGTCTCTAGCCTGCCCCAGAAAGATATGCATTTCCAAGCAGAAGATGCTACCATTTCACAGACAAATGTATTATGTTTCCCAACTATTTTCACAGTTAAGAAATGTGTCTTGATATCCCCCATGCTTTGGCTTTGCTCAGACTTGAAATGCTCAAGTTTGAGGTAGAGACTAAGGCAGAATTTTTTGTGACTCATTCCCTAAGAAATGTGTGGGTGTGCAAGGATTTGTCTACAGCAGAATAAAGAATATTTATTCAGCCCACTTCCTCCCCTGCCCCTACAATGAATGGCTTTGCCAGATACAGAAATAAAATACATCTCTGGAATGTGGAGGGCATCCATAATAGGCATGGATCACCTGTCCCAAATATTAGAGGGAAGCAAGAAACAACCTGTGATAATTGCTCTGTCACAGCTTATTCACTGAGCTCATTGTGAACTGAGCTTCTCTTCAAATCTGCAGTGCTGTCAGACTTCTGCTGTCAAGGCTTTCTTTGCATTTGAACTTTGTGTTATCAACTTGGGTTCTGAGCCAAGTCTAAACAAAAGTAAGATCTTAATTATGAATTCACCCTCAGTGTTGTATGCAATGTGTTCCTAACATTTTTTGAGTACCTTACACCCGTTACTAAGGCGCTTCTATAATGAAGGTCTATTTCTAGGACCCTCTGCAAGACCGTTACCAATCTGAATGTTGTACCGTGTTCCTGGATCATGTGACACTATAGCAGTGTTTCTCAACCTGGACCATTTTAAGGCATGTGGACTCCAACTCCCAGAATTCCACAGCCAGCAATGCTGGCTGTGGAATTCTGGGAGTTGAAGTCCACATGCCTTAAAATGGTCAAGGTTGAGAAACACTGCACTATAGGATTCCTGCAAGTCTTCATCGAATGAGCCAGTTAACTTCCAGTTCAGCTAACGCTCTTAAGGAAACACCATAAAGACAGTTTTGCTGCAATCCCTGTGGAGCTGTGGGATAGATAGTTTGCACAGCTAGTCCTTAGCTTATGACCACAGTTGAGCCCAAAATTTTTGTCACTAAGCGAGACATCTTTTAAGTGAGTTTTGCCCCATTTTACAATCTTTCTTGCCACAGTGGGGAAACAATGATTGCAGTTGTTAAGTTAGTAACGTGGTTGTTAAGTGAATTTGGCTTCCCTTTTGACTTTACTGGTCAGAAAGTTGTACAAGGTGGATCACATGACCCCTGGGATATTGCAGCCATTATAAATGCTGAACTGGAAATTAACTGGCTTAATTAACTAACTCCTCTGGATGAGGGGATAGATGGGGAACTCATCAAATTTGCAGACGACACCAAGCTGGCAGGAATAGCCAACACTCCAGAAGACAGGCTTAGGATACAGGAGGATCTGGACAGACTTGAACACTGGACGCTATCTAACAAAATGAAATTCAATGGTGAAAAAAGTAAGGTTCTACATTTAGGCAAGAAAAACCAAATGCACAGGTATAGTATAGGGGGTACCTTGGTCAATAGTAGTAACTGTGAGAGGGATCTCGGAGTCCTAGTGGACAATCATTTAAATATGAGCCAGGAGGCTAAAACATATAAGGAACAGTTGCTGGAATTGGGTATGTCTAGTTTAACGAAGACAGGGACGACGGGGGACATGATAGCAGTCTTCCAATATCTCAGGGTCTGCCACAAAGAAGAGGGAGTCAAGCTATTCTCCAAAGCACCTGAAGGCAGAACAAGAAGCAACGGATGGAAACTAATCAAGGAGAGAAGCAACCTAGAACTAAGGAGAAACTTCCTGACAGTTAGAACAATTAACCAGTGGAACAACCTGCCTCCAGAAGCGGTGAATGCTCCAACACTGGAAGTTTTTAAGAAGAAACTGGACAGCCATTTGTCCGAAATGGTATAGGGTTTCCTGCCTGAGCAGGGGGTTGGACTAGATGACCTCCAAGGTCCCTTCCAACTTTATTATTATTATTATTATTATTATCGATCATCGCACAGTCAGCCAGATGTTCAGACTGGATTTGGCATTTTGTCTACCTATCGAGTCCTTACCCAGGACCTGGGATAGGCAGATGTTGTTTGATGGTATTACAGATATCGTCGCAGGATGGAAGCAGTTCCTAATAAGGCTGCCTTTTGCAATTGACTAATAGCGAATTTGTCAATGCCAATGGTGTTCAAGTGGTGCTCCAGTTGTTTTGGGATTGCACCCAAGGAGCCTATGACTATTGGTACTACCCTTGCTTGCTTTTGCCACAGTCTTTCTATTTCTATTTGTAGGTCTTTGTATTTTGTTATCTTCTCCAGTTCTTTCTCTTCTATTCTGCTATCTCCAGGCACTGCCACGTCCACTATCCAGACTTTTTTGTCTTTCTTATCGACAATTGTTAAGTCTGGGGTGTTATGTTGCAGGTGCTTGTCTGTTTGAATTCTGAAGTCCCAGAGCAGTTTAATTTTATCATTTTCTATGACTTTCTCTATTTTATGATCCCACCAGTTTTTGCTTACAGGCAAATGATATTTTTTGCAGATCTTCCAATGCACCATTGTTGCTACTTTGTCATGCCGCTGCTTGTAATCAGTTTGTGCAATCTTCTTGCAACAGCTTACCAAGTGGTCCACTGTTTCTTCAGCTTCTTTGCATAGGCGGCACTTACTGTCTGTTGCTGTCTTCTCAATTTTTTATTATTATTCTCAATCATCGCACAGTCAGCCAGATGTTCAGACTGGATTTGGCATTTTGTCTACCTATCGAGTCCTTACCCAGGACCTGGGATAGGCAGATGTGGATGTTTGATGGTATTACAGATATCGTCGCAGGATGGAAGCAGTTCCTAATAAGGCCGCCTTTTGCAATTGACTAATAGCGAATTTGTCAATGCCAATGGTGTTCAAGTGGTGCTCCAGTTGTTTTGGGATTGCACCCAAGGAGCCTATGACTATTGGTACTACCCTTGCTTGCTTTTGCCACAGTCTTTCTATTTCTATTTGTAGGTCTTTGTATTTTGTTATCTTCTCCAGTTCTTTCTCTTCTATT